GTGGAGGACTTCTTTGCCTGTTGGTTGGAGAGGTGGTGGAGGAAGAGCACTGCAATCCCAACAGCTAAAGCAGTGAGTGAATGTGGGGTTTTCTGTTTTTAGAGCAGTGCTGTGGCCACTAGGCTGTTAGAAAAACATGTGGCTTCTATGCTTTTGTGCTGCTAAGCCTTGACGAGATGACAGCTGTTCTGCATGTGTGCAGTGAAACTGGGGGGAATTCACTGGTGAGTGATGGCCTAGAGGAACCAAAGCTGGTTTGGAGATATATGCTTTGGAGATATACCTGTAGGATGTCACCTTGTACCTCGGTATTGCTCTAAACTTGCTTCAGTCCTGCCTCTGATCCTCCAGCGCATCAGGACATTGGTGCTGCCTCTTGCCAAGGTTGGATCACAGAGCTATTGAATGGCCCATCTCTTATTTAGAGCTTTAAGGCAAACTGAAGGACCAGGATGAGGGAACCCACTGAGCCAAAAAACCCCACAGGCATCCTTCAGGCTGGGCACACCAACCCTTCGGTCAGTTGAAGATGAGAAGGTCAGAAGGATGCAGTTCCTCTAGCCAGCCCCATTTTGGGAAGTCCTGAGCCCAACTCCTGACAGCCTCTGCTCTTGCAGGATTGGACCTTCTCTACAGTCCATTGGAATAAGAGACTGTCTGCGATAGGTACAGGAGAACCAATTTCTTCCATCGGCTCGTCCCTCTGCAAAGAGTTTGCATCTTGAGTATATAGCACAGCTATGCACAGCAACATTCATTTTCTTCTTGTCCTTGATACTATCTCTATATTGTATTTATTAGTCTATGAGAACATGGGACAGTGTTGGATCTATCGTTTAGGCAAACACCACCACATGTGGGAATACTTTTCCCTTGTTTGCAGGGAATATTGTTCTGAAAACTCAAGTTCTGGTCCTGTATGATTTCCCCCCCACTCCCCTAAAGTAATGTTGTTGCTGTGTTTGACATAATTGTCTGATTCCTCTTTGCAGAGTTAATTTTCCATGGGGGGATCAAAGGACAAACACTGGATTTTGTTTCAAAGTGACTTATTCTTTTTGCTGCCTATCTCCCATCTGTATAGTGGAAATGGAAAGGCCCATTTTCTAAAGTTTTGTCTGATCCTAGTGAAGTTGCTATGGTGTTGAATCTCTTTTTAATCTGTCCTTCATGCTTATCTTTCAGGTTTTTATATAACCGAATGGGATATTGGAGTGACTGGTCCATTCCAATACTTGTAACAACTGCTGCTGGCTTTACATACATTACAGTGTTACTGGTGAGTAGAATGAAATGCCATTTCCTAAAGGTTTGTACGTTTGTTTTAAAAAGGATATGTACTTCTCGGTCCACCTATGACTTGAGCAATTTTCCTTTCAGAAGTGATTTCTCTCTCCTTCTCTCTCTTAGTCTTAAGTTACCTAAAATAAATGGAAAGTGAAAAATTCATGGTCTTTGACCTCAGATGATCAAGAGCAAAGACAGAGACCCTGATACTGGCGGTACAGCTGGCCTGAGGAGAAATACAGCTTTTGTTTCCCTTAGTATGGTCCCAACCCCACTTTGGTGTATCTTCCCAATCACAACTACAAGTTGTTTCCCCTCATCCCAGGGTGCTGGAACCTTCAAGGTGGTGTCCATTGAGGTAGTGTGCCCCTGGCCTCAGGTAGTTGGTGCTTTCTGAGGTCCCAGGAGCTGTGCACCCATGGATCAGACTCTCCAACTCCCTGCCTCTTGGAGGCTGGTCTTTTCCTCCACATCCTTGGCTTTGGAGAGGATTTGTCTGTACAGATGAGCTAGGTGTTGTCTGCTTGACCCATCCCCACTCCAGCCCTGCTTTCTGCCCTGGCCTGTTGGGTTATCTTTTGGGGTGGTGGTGTGTTCCTGCATGTGCAAACACTTGATGGTTGTGAAGTGCCATTGTCTGACTTGAATTTTTTTTCCTCCCAGATACTAGCACTATGTCACATAGCTGTGGGACAGCAAATGAACCTGCACTGGCTTCACAAGGTAAATGGCTCTTCTCAGCTTGGAAAGGAGCAGGATCTCAATAAAATAGGAGTCTAAGGAGCGGGTGGTGTATGTGGTACTTGCTTTCATGACGTTTTTGAGAAAAGCATAAACTTTAGATGTCTATGGTGCATGTGTCCTCATCTCAGAGGACCAAGCAAATTGCACAGTAGGGGCAGTCAAAGCCTGGGGACAATAACTTTGCTCCATGGTTGGTGAAATGCTTTGGGGTACCTGCTGACTTTTGGAGATTGAGAAACACTGTGTCATTAGAGCACCTTGACTTTGGTCTTGGCTCAGGGTGGTATTCCATTATGAACCTCTCTGGTGCTCCTTTCTGTGCTGAACCCAGCCCTGGAGGAGGGGCTGAGCAGATGTGAAGCTTTTCAGGACGTACTTGGAAGAACCGACTGTGGAAAAGCCTTGGGAAAAGATGTAGGTGTTAAAACTGGGGGAGTGCAATGTGCAGGTTGTGGTTTGCTGGAACCCACGGAGGTCCTGACTTGTATGTAATGCAGTTTGGAAAAAAAAAAAAAAAATTACTGTGAAATGTAAGAGAAGATGCAGATCTGATGTTTGGAGCACAGAAGGGGAGAGGAAGGGTATGTAGCAAGCTGTGGGGAGAGACAGTGCCAAGGAAAATAGCTTGGCAGGATTCAATTGTAACTGGCAATCTGCTAATAGGTAATTAAGGGACCAGTCCTGAATCTGCCAATACACGGCTCCTCCTGAAATTGGTTGTTCTGCAAGTGACAAGGTCTTGCAGGATCAGAGCCTGAACGGATGTACCACCTCCAGGACAGGGAGAGCACAGACCTCCCCGCCCTCTCTTGAGTCTAACATATGTTTCTCCATCGGGGGAAATGGTATTTTTCAGACATGCTCCAGGTGGCTGGTGGGTTTGGATGAGTAAGTCCAGAAGAGGAATGTGTTGGTGGAGATCAGTTAGTTCTTGCCTACAGAAACCCACCCTTCCTTCCCTTCTTCCAAAAAAGTCCACCTTTCATCACAACTCAGATGCGTTGCTCTGTCTCTCTCTTCCCTTCCCCACACCTCCCTCAGCTTTCTAAGGAGGTTTAGATAAGAGACTGGATTAAGTTAATATTCTTCTCTGCAACCGTGCTGAATTACCTTCAAATATAGATTAAAGCACATGGGAAAGGCTGGTATGTGCAAATAGCACAATTCCTTCCAATTTTCTCCTGTAATCCTGCAAAAAGAGCTAACAATCGTAAGCCAAGTTGGAGATGCGTGAGGAGGGTAAGAAGCAATATAGTGGAGCTGATGGGAGGAGGAAATGATGGAATGGTGATATGCTTGTGTCCTAACACCTCTGGGCTGAACAGGGCAGCAACATCAAGGGGAATTAGGGCTGTACTGAAGAAATCTAGTTGACAGAATCTTCTGTGACTGCTGAATTTGGAGTTCAGCTTTGGGGGATATACAATGGACGAAAAGTAGATTCAGTCTGGGTTGTGTGCTTGTGTCACACTCTGGCAGGCAGCCCAGAGGTCAGACCACAGGATGGGGGAAGCAGAATGACTACTGCATGCAAAGCCCCATGGCAAAGTGCAATTGTCCACATGCATTGCTTTGTGCTTTATTAATTCAGAGTCCTCAATGAGGAAATATCTTGAAATAGTGTGGCTTGTCATTATAGGTAGCTGGGGGGCATCCCTTAAATAGGCAAGTAAATCCTGTTCTTCCTTGGATGTGCAGAAATGGGTTGGTTAAGGTTAGCAGGTGGTTTGAATGCAGCCTCTTGGTTCGGGGATCCTCTTCAGCCTGGGGCATCTGGATCTTTTGGACCCTTCTGCTGCCCCATGTGTTTTGCTCATGTTCCCTGAAAGTTGGAGGCTCGAGGTAAGCCACTGCTGTCCTATGGACACCTCTCGTGCTGTTGGCAGGTCTGTCTGTGGGCAGCCAGGAGAGGAACAGCAAGTGGGAACTGAGGGCTAAACTAGAAAGAGAAATCCTGTCCTTATGTACAAAAGGTATTTCTGTAAACATTGGGAATGTGAGGGTTTTTTTATTTCCTTCTCTAAGGTATTAAGTAAACCTGAAATCAGTCTAGAGATGTCCTGTGCCATGTAGATGATTAGTTCACTGTTACGTATCAGTTGGCCTTTTCTGCCCAAGTCTCGCACGCAGATTTCGGATCTAGACAGTACATGAGATCAAGACACAGAGCAGCAGCATCCTTTTAATCCAGCAGGCATGTGGTACAGCAGAGACTGAGATACCAGACGGAGAGGCGGAGGATGGTGAACTATTTTTTGACGGGCAGCCCAGATTTTAGGTCTTTACAGCTGGAGTTATTTCTATGGCAGTTTTTGACAGTTTGAACTTTTTACCTTCAAAATGGAGGTGACGTTTTCTTTTTGACTGCTCCGCTCAGACTTCTGAGTGCTTCCATGTGGAGGGAGAGGGAGGCTGGGGGAAGTGGCTGATGGACTGGGTCTCGTTCTGCCACCTCAGTTCAGCCACTGTCATCCAGAGCCTCTTCTCAAGTTGCAATATCTGTTATAACTGCTCAGTCAACACGGCTTGAATGCTGACTGCACAGTTGTTGCCATTTCAGACCCAGGTGAAGTCACATCAATGCACGAAGTTGTGCTGAACCATCTCAGAGATGATTGCTTAGTGATGGGGATGCTCAGCCTTGCTTTGCACACATGTTCACCCTTTACTGAGAAGTGTGATGTTTGTCTGTTGGGTGTGTTCAAGTTTTATCCCTGAACACAAGCATTAGAGAGTCAAGTTGAGTGAGGTCCACCGCCCTCCCATCGCGCTGGTGCATCACAGGCTGTTGCAGCAGGGCCAGGTGAATCCGGGATCATCTCCTGAAGTTGCCTGGCAGAATCCAATCTGTATTAAAGCTGTTTCTAATCTAGTTTGTTGGCAGGGCAAATCACCTGATCTTTCCATGCCATTGGCCACTGTGTGAAGAAAGTGAGAGATCATCCATGAGATGTGCCCTCCTGGGACTGTTTGCCTCAGTGTTGTATCTTCAGTGGTGGAAAGGGGAGGTTATGCTGGGACAGTGCACAAGCCCAACCTCTTTCCTTGTGGTTCCTAAGGCTAGTTGTTTTAGGCAGTTTATTACAGACAAAAGTTTTCTGTTTCCCAGTCTGTAGAACTTCTATGATAATGGTAGGGTCCAGTATGTAAATACTCTCGTATTTGTTGCAGATTGGCCTGATTACAACCTTGATAACTACCGTGGTGACCATGTCATCGATAGCACAGCTTTGGGACGATGAATGGGAAATGGTATTTATTTCACTGCAAGTAAGTTGCTTCAAGGATGCTTCTCTGGGTGGGGAAAGGGACCAGCGCAGCTACATGTCATGGACTTTGTGTCTTTCTACTGTATAAAACCCTGTCTTGATGTTTATCACTCCCAAAATTGAAATCTTGGCAATGAGAAAATTTGCAGCAAAACTCCCATGGAGTCCTGGAGGCCACCACATCACTTTGTCTCCATCTCCTGGGCTCTTTCCTTTAAACTCAAACCAGGGTTCGGCTGTGGAGTTAGAGGTGGAAAATACTGAGGCTGCATCTGACTCAGAGTTGCTGGAGGGAGAGGGCAATTCCTCCACTTGGTTTTGGCTAGCAATGCTCTGGACGTTGGTGTCTAGGCCTGGAGCATCATGCTTTGCCCAGTCCTGTGGGAGGAGTACTCTGGGTTTGTTTTTTACATTGCACATAAATTTATATATAATCTCTAACAAAGAATGCAACTTCTGTGCTCTAGTACTCTTTTAAGAAAGACTTGTGGTATGCTGCAGACTATATAAGTGTTAAAGGAAAGTAGTTGCAAACTGTTAGTTTCTTGATAGACCTGCTCTCTATTCCTTTTTTTCCTCTCCCTCAAAAAGGGGTCCAAAAAATATTTTGCCTATAAAAGGCTTGAGAGGTTTTACTGGTGCTTACTGCTGTGTACTTGGGAGTATGCAAATATATACAAATGCGGGGGGGGGGGGGGGGAAAAAATCTCCACAAAGCGGAAAAACTTTGACTAACAGTTCTCAGAAGTGCTTCCCTTTTTCATCTTTTTTTTTTTTTTAAAGATTTAGGCAAGCAATTGGAGAACAAAAACATGACTCAGAGGATCCATCTCAAACTTTCTCTCGTGGTGTCCCATGGTGATACACAGTTCAGGTGTTCATGGAATCATAGAATAGTTTGGGTTGGAAGGGACTTTTAAAGGCCACCTAGTCCAACCCCCCTGCCATAAGCAGGGACACCTTCAACTAGATTGCCTTGCTCAGAGCCCTGTCCAGCCTGACCTTGAATGTTTTCCAGGGATGGGACATCTACCACCTCTACCACCATGGCCTCCTCTGGCCCTGCTCCAACAGCTCCATGTCCTTCCCGTGCTGAGGACCCCCGAGCTGGACGCAGGGCTCCAGGGGGGTCTCCCCAGAGCGGAGCAGAGGGGCAGAATCCTCTCCCTCGCCCTGCTGCCCACACTGCGGGGGATGCAGCCCAGGAGACGCTTGGCTTTCTGGGCTGCCAGTGCACGTTGCTGGCTCATGGCCAGATTTTCATCTGCCAGCACCCCCAAGTCCTTCTCCTCAGGGCTGCTCTCCATCCCTTCGTCCCCCAGCCTGCATGGATACTGGGGGTTGCCCTCACCCAGGTGCAGGACCTTGCACTTGACTTTGTTGAACCTCATGAGGTTCACATGGGTCCATGTCTTGAGTTTGTCCAGGTCTCTTGAATGGCATCTCATCCCTCAGGCGTGTCAACTGTACCACTCATCTTGGTGTCATCTGCAAACTTGCTGAGGGTGCACTCGATCCCACCGTCAATGCCATTGATGAAGATATTAAACAGTACTGGTCCCCATACAGGCACCTGAGGGACACCACTCGTCACTGATTTCCATCCAGACATTCGAGCCGTTGACCAGTCTTCAACTGGACTACACCAAATTTAAAAGAGCCTTACTTGAATTTGCATGGTGTCTAAGGAGGCCTTTTCCAAATATCTGTGTTATTGGGTGAGCTCTTCCCCAAGAAAGGTTTAGAGCTTTCCTGCTTTGCCTTCGTAGTCTGAGTGCCAAAGGCAACGGCAGGGTTTGGAAGAAGAGATGGCCAAAACAATGCAGCAGCCTGATGCAGGAATGGTGTGAAATCCAACTGAAAAGAGTGGTGTGATGCACTATGGAGCCTGCAAGATCAATGAATTTGCAAGGTGCCGACTTGTTTGTCATCATTTTTTCTCTCCTGTTCTTGTGTCCTGCAGGCCACAGCCCCTTTCTTGCACATAGGAGCACTTGCGGCGGTCACAGCCCTGTCGTGGTTGATAGCGGGGCAGTTTGCACGAACAGAAAAAGCCAGTGAGTACCACTCGTCCTTGTGTGGTGGTCGGGGGCTGGTGGGTGGCTGTTGGGGCGTTGGGTCCTCCCGTTGAGAACCAGCTGGCAGGAGGCAGTGCTGGTTCCTTCCCTGGGCTCAGCAGCCTCCAGCTCAGCCATGTTGGGGAAGTAGATGCTCTCCTAGAGTAATGTGGCTGAAACTGGAGTGGGTGAATCTGGTCTTGGGATGCATCTAGATCCCATGGCTGCTGCTTTGTGGTTGGAAGTGCACCAGGGTTGGAGGTGAAAGGGCTGTTTTCAATGACGCAACGAATAGAAGCTTCCAGATTTTCCATCAATCTGCTTTAGAAAACATAAATGCACCCTCTGGAGCTAATGTGCAGTGTTCTTCTCTGGATCTTATAGGCACTTCTCCCGTCCCCCACCTCCTTGGCTCTTTGGATCTGGCTTTTGAAAGCCTTCATGGACTTGTTGCTTGTGATGCAGTAGCACCCAGAGGGCTCAGTAGAGATCTGGTCCCCTGATGGTTAGGTGCTTCCTTAAATGCATGTTGAGACACGGTCAAAGGTCTAAGGGAGCAGAGTGGTGAAGGACACACTGAACCCAGGTCTTCTTGCTGATGGTGCTGTCCACTGAAATAAGCTCTTCTGTGCATCTCCCCTGTCCCATCTCCTTGCCAGGGGCTCTCCCAAGCCTGAGCTGTTCCTCCAGATTTTCTTGTGAAATAATTCGATCCTTCTGTGCCCTCAGAAGTGCTTTTCTTCAGGGCGTCCATGGATGTTCTCAGACATTTGTGCCAGCTCCAGAAAAATTCTTTTAATTGGTGTTTAACCTGCAGCAAAACACAAGCCCTGGAAGGATTTGGCAGCACCTGCAAAAGACTTCCAACAAGTGGGAGTTAAGAATGAGGAAACGGTGTCTGAAGATTGAAAGATTTTGATATCCAGAGAGACCTTTCAAATAAAGAATTGCTTTGCCTTAATTTATAAATATGCCAATAAAGCCGTACCTGCTTCTTCTTAAATATGTCCTAGCATGTAATTAGGCTGCCAGTTGAGGGAGGATTTGTGGTTACGCCTGGAGCAGAGACTGCATGTGCTCCTTCTGAATTCCTCATACTTTTTCTCTTGCAGCTGAGTTCCCTGAAAATGGCTTTTTGTTTGTTTGTTTTTAATAAGCCAGGAAGCTGTTTTCCTTCTCTTTTTTTCTGCTCCTCGGTTGGGGTTTTTTTGTTTGTTTGTTTTTAAGCAAAAACATTCATCTCTTCTGTACCATTGGATCTTAAAGTTATTTTAGGGTCATTTTACTTGTGAAAGGTATCTTACCTGGAGGAGCTTACAGACTTTTTTGTACAGATATGTTTGATATGGTAGTGTTAAAAATGGAAGAGAAGAACTGAAATCTCTGTGAGAACATAGTCACTTGTAATGGGAAAATAAGATTTCACTCACTAATAATAATCTTTTAGAAATAACTGGTGCAGCTGCAGTCATTGGAACAACAATCTGTTCTTCTCGTTTTTGAGGCATGTGACAATCTTCAGCAACCGGCTTTTTTACTGAGCAAATTTACAGGTTTTTTGGTGGTTTTTTGTTGTTGTTGGTTTTTTTTTTTTTTTTGATTCCCCCAGTGCAACTTTTTCCAAACCTGAAGAATAGAAGTTTCTTGAATAGCTACAGTGTTTTAAAAGGTAGTAGCTTGTTTTCAAAGCTTGCTTCTGAGGTCAGGTAGAAAACATTGGACTCAAAGCAGCCCTGGAAGCCTTGAGTAGCAAACAGCAGTGTGAGAAACATGCTCTTCCAGGAGCCCAAACTAGGCTGGAGTGGTCACTAAGAGCAGGAGGAATGGAGAAGGAAGGCTTGCATCTAAGTGTTGTCATGTTGTAGAAAGTGGGAGATTTATCTGTCCTGCTTGCTTGGCTTGGGTGGTCACCAGGAGAACTTCTTCCATACAGACCATCCAACCTGAAATTGAATAGTAAGTGCTTTGCGTGTGTTTCATGCATGTATTTCATTTCGGGTTTTTTGTGGGTGGTCTCAGTTCCCACATATGCGTGGCTGGGTGAGGTCTTCAGCTCCATTTTAACATGGTCTGTGACCCATGCTGAGGTATCCTTTCCTTGTGGGTGCAGTCCAATGGTAAAAATACTTGGAAGCCCATGCATTTCACATGGTACTTGCCTTTAGCCTCAATCCGAGTTGTTTAATCCCTAAACTGCACTACCGGGAAGGAAGGGACCAGATTCTTTACACAGCCTGAGACTTTGCTGACAATTAGGCTGATTTTCAAAGCCTGGTTGGTGTGTGGTGTTTCTGGAGTGAGCAAGAATTGGGTCAGGATAACGTCCTGTGTCCGTCTGGAGGTTTTGATGCTGGTAATGCACAACTCCAGGGCACCATACCTTTATAGTGCAGGCCACAGCATGAACTCACTTAGCAAGATGCCTTTCAGTTCCTTGAATGCTCTGTGGGTGATTGACATCTCTTCCAGAGAGGAGGAAAAATTAGCTGGCAAAGTTACTAGTGTTACTTTCTGGCTTGTAGGAACATGTTTGAATGAGGCTATTAGATGCTGGATGCAAAAAGAAGTTTATGTGTGAAACCAGATCAGTTGTGGTCAGGAGCAGAGCTGGGCTGTTCTGTCCTTCCCCTAAAAGAAACTGCTTTCTCTACCTTGTGTCCCTGGCAAATATTTGTTTTAAAAGGGGTTTTTTGGAGGTTCTCCCTTGAGTTCCAAAACCTTAATGAGTTTGAAAAATAAACAATAATAATTAAAAAAAAATAAATGAAGTCTTATGCTTTAATAGCTGTGGTTTCAAGTGACTCCAAATAGCTCAGGAGTTCAAAGATGCCTGTTGTTCTTTATATGGAATACACCTCTGTTGGGAACAAGGGGTGTTTCTGTTGCACTGTCAGCACCTTCGAAAGATTCCCAGATGCTTTGGACTTTGTGAGAAGTCGCTGGTAGTTGGAGGCGGGTGGCTGAGGCATGGTGTGGGAGGCAGGACTGCTCATCTGGCCCCAAGCGCTGCAGCCAGGACCCTCTTTGCTGTGTTTGCCAGTCCTGTAGTATTGCTGCTTGCAGAGACCCTGGGAAGTGCAGCACCGTCAAAACCCAAGGATTTATTTAAACATGTCCAACTTAATCAGTAAAACATTACTGAAAATTAACTCGGTTCTGGCTGGCACAAATCCTAATGCAGAAGAAGTTTAAGTGGTGTTACCCTGGCTGAAATGGGTGGTGTTGGTGAACCACCAATGCAAACACAAGTGATGTAAACCCACGTGATACTAAAAGCACCAACATGGTGCTGTGACTTATGTGTAGATATGTTTAACTGGTGATCTCTTTCTGCTGTCAGGCAGAGCAAAATTTGGTGCTGTCCCACCCAAAGAGCTGGAAATCAGCAGTGTTTTGGGCTATGTTACTGGGACTTCAAGTAATTCGCTTAACTTTTTGTTTCCCCAATGCAAAATGAAGTGAAAACCTCCCTCGGAACTTCAGTAGCTCAAAGAGTTTTTTGTTTGTTTGTTTGTTTTAAATAGAATAAATTTTTCCATAAACACAGAGCTCTGCTGTTGTACTAGGGGCAATGACTGTAGACCAGTCTCTCCTCCGGAGGAAGACGAAGGTATCTTGACTTTTGCTCCTGTGGTGTGAGGAGGTCAGAACCAACATTTTCAACAGCTCTTTCTCTCTCTTTCCATCTCAGCTTCTCAGATGCTGGTGTTCACTGCATACCTTGCAGTTGTAGTTGCACTTTACCTCGTCCCCCTCACCATCTCGTCCCCTTGCATAATGGAGAAGAAGGCTCTGGGACCAAAGCCAGCCATTATAGGTCACCGCGGAGCACCGATGGTGAGTAGTCTCACATTATTAGTACTGTGTTGTCTGACTTTTCTGCCTGTGTAAAGGATGGTACTGGATCTGGTGGTCTCCACGCTGCTCTCCAGAGAGAATATATATGACAAATATAACTTTGAGGCACCCCTCCTGGCTAGAATTACTGTGGTGGTAAATCAGTACGTGAACCCAGAGTCAAGTCATGCCCCAGATGTTCTAGATGCCTTACAAACAAAAGGGCAATCCTTGCCTTGCTCAGCGTGGTTTGTGCCACTGCACTTTTCTGGCTGCTAGTTCTGCTGGTTTTTGTTCTCCAGGCTTGGCCCTTGAGCTGCAGCTGTAGAAGTTTGTGGTGATTTTTTTATTTATTTATTTATTTTTTTTTTTAGAGCTCAAGGCTCAGTCTTTGTGTCCTTTGCAGGACCTCACCAGCAGTCATTAAACTCAGCTCACAGCAAAATGCCTTGAGTATGTGGCAATCTACAAAAACAAACAAACAAGCTGTGCTGACCCTACATGACTGCACGATACTCTTGCATTGCAGATCATCATGAGACTGGGTGAGGTGGTGAAACATTCCTGTCATCTGCCTCTGGGAAGACCTTGAAATCATAATCATATAGTTTGTCCTTCTCCGAGGTTTCTGGACATGTCTAGGCTAAAGATGGAGCATGTTGGCTTGAGCACAGTCCTGGGCTTGGCTAAAGCTGTCCTGTGGTGTTTGGTCATGCTGGTCTGGGTCTCTAGTCTGGGTGCTTCTGTACCTAGGTCTGTTGAATGGTTGCACCTCCATCTCTCTCTGCTAGTTGATTGACTTCAGAAAGGATAGCAAACTGCAGTGTAGGCACTGGCCTTGCAAATGTTTTTTTGTTTTGTTTTAAGGCATCCAACTAACTTTTTTGCTGATGTTCAAAGCAGAAGAAAATATCTGTATACGCTGTCAGAACCTATTTGGCAGGCTGGTGCGTGCTTGAGCTCCTCTCCAAGTTTAAGAGCGCGCACTAGGAGTTTGCTAGGTGAGATAAACACCTGTCGTGACACAGAAGTATTTTATTTTCGTTCTCTCTATTTTCAATGATTTCTTTCTTTAAGAATCCCTTGAAATGCCAGCTTAATTTGCATCACTCTTAACTATATTGCCTCTGTGGGTGGTGGAATGAAGTTCTGGGCATGATAAATGCTTTTTTCCTGTCCCACTGAGTTTGTACCAGCCATGAAGGCCAGAAGCAGCCAAGTGAGAACCTGGGCTCTGCATGCTTTCTGCATGGCAGCAAATCACAAAACCTGTTAGGAGATTTTCTTCCTGAGGGCTTTCCAGGCCTATGAGCCCCCCATAACCTTCTAAAGAAACTAAACAGCGGGCAAATATTTTCCAGATAGTTTACATAAACCTTATCTGGAGCAAGACTCCCAGTAGAGACTTGGCCCTTTGCTTCATGTTCTTCCTTGGAGCCAGCAAACACTCCTTGCAGTATGGAATAAACCTATCTGGGAACATGCTGACTGCATGTTAGAGTGCAAAGGTTGATCAAGAGCAGTGGTGGAGGACACTCAGGGCCATGTGTGGAACTGTGGCCCAGGTGTTGTTCAGCAGGATGCATCCCTCCCCTTCACTGTTCCCCGATACACAGAGCTGGTTGTCTGTTAGCAGCAGATGGTTTGCTCTGAAGCCCACAAGAAGCGAGATCAGAGACTAACAAGCCTTGTTCCAACCTCCAAGCAATATGTCCCATGATGAGTTGGCAGTAGGTTTATCCAATCGCTTTGCCTTTGCTGTATGTGTAATGAGTGTCCTCCAACTGTGCCCTTGAATGGCAAAGCTGAGATGGGAGCAGAAAGATGAAGACCAGAGAGAGGTGGTCAAAACTTCCTTCCGTACTTCCATCTATGCCCAGCTTTTCACTGTATCAAATGTCACCCTGAGTTTGAAGAGCTCCACCTACAGTGCAAGGCCTCAGGTTGTACAAAGTCATATCTGCTTGGAAACCAATGATTTTAAAGCCTTGTCAGAAGGCATTTCTGCTAATAGGGTCTTGTTTCACAGGGCTGCTTGCTACGCTTTTGCTGTTGAGCCCAACTGTACGTAGATTTAGTTTGGAGAAATGGCCAAGTGGAGCTGGGGAGGAGGAAATAGCCCAGAGAAGAGTCTGGAGGCTGGGCTGTAGGACACAGACATCCTCCCTTGGGCAACGTCAAGATCAAAAGTCTGCAGAGCCTGGGAGTTTGGGACCTGAGGTGAAACTAGATCTAGTGGGATGAGATAAAAAGCGATGAAATATTTGCCTTCAAATCTCCTGAAGCAAGACAAATGTGATTTGCTGTGCAGGCAAATGTGCTCTCTGATAGAGCCTGATAGCTGGTTGCTTTGCCTGTCTGGCAGGACTGGGTCCGTAATATAGCATTTGCACGTCCAATGCTCTTATGCTACAAAGACACAAATACAACTGAGTGCTCTTCTGACAAAAGCCAGCAAAGGAGGAGATCCATGGGATGGCTGAAGACGCTTGTTGTCCTGAAGTAAAGGATTTGCTGGGGATGTGGCGTATGGTATATGGGGCAAAAGGTGGAGAAATGGAGAGTTTCCCAGGAAAGGTGTAGATGTGTGCACTTCCTGAGGGATACTGATCCATCAGTGCATGCAGCCTGCTCCTCAAACAGGGGCAACAATCTTCCTTTGCACTCCGGAGCCTGCCTTCCTCTATGAATGCACACACCCTGTCTCTCTTCTCTTGTCCCTTTAGGATTTTTAAGAGCAGCATTCATAGTGTCTGTGTGCCTGCGACTGAACTGCTGTCCTTGTTCTGTGGAGGAAAAAAGTGAGGAACAGAGGCCATATGGCTCATATAATTTCTTGAAACACTGGAGGAGAGAAAAAGTCTTTGCATTTTAAGTAGCAAGAGAAAATCAGAAACCATTCTGGCATCTGTACCTAAATGAAGTGTGACTTTTTGCAGCACAGGAGAGCTACTGGTCCCACGCTGGCTGACCATTTGTCTGTAGCGGTAGTGCTCCTCCAAGCAACGTCCCTTTGGTATCATTCTGTTCTTCCGTGAGCTTTAATTCACTGCTAAAAAGGCTCTTCTGCATGACTCCTCCTACCTTCCCTTGCCTAAATGTCATCCAGTCGTGCCCACTTTTCGCTGTGCTAAATGTCCATTCCCATCAGGGTGCTACTGAAAACCCTTTCTCTTAGCAGGTGTTTAGTTAATCAATCAGTTTCTTTTCAAAGGCTTTTTTTAAAATGAATTATTCAGTCTCCAGATCAGTTTCTGTCCTTCTGGACTCCCATCAGGAGAGCATCAGGGTTGTAGCAGCAATGTGCTGGGAATTGAGGGCTCCAGCCCTCGCTTGTTATCTGTTGGTTTGAAAGGGTCTTGTCCTGATGGGTACAGGAATCATCTGACACCCCAAAACATGAGATGGGGTTCTCTGTAAATTTTCCATGTTAATATATTAAACTTTTCAGATGGTTTTATGAGCCGGTGTCTGTTGTCTGTGGTCTTCCATCTTTTTTTATTCTTACAAAAATCTAGTTGCATTTTGTCTTCAATGGCAATAGACTTGACTGTCTTCTCCCTATGATGGTGAATTATGCCACTTATGCTGAGGATAAGCCAAAACAAGGGTAGGAAGTAAAAGCTGGGACCAAATATGAGATGGAAAGGAGGACTTGATCCAGTAGGACACCAACTTCTACTGCCGTTTTCACCTTTAAAGTCTTCTCCCAAATGTCTTTCCTCAGATGGTGCTTCAGGTTGAGGCAGGTTGTCTTTGCTTTTGGGGTCTGAAGAAGGTGCTGTCCATAATGTTGAATCCTACTTGCTTTTAGGTTGTTAGTCTTAAATATACATTCCTTATAAAAATAATTAGGCTCATCGTGATGATCTTTGATCTCAAATTGTAGGCAAATCACCCAAAGGATTAATAATAGCAAGGACTTAAGTGAGCAAGAGCTGTATCTGTCTCCTTGGAAACCTTCATGAAGCCTGGAAACTCATCTCTCATTACTGGGGCCAGAAAGTTACTGGTTGGTCTAAAAACGATCAGGCTAAACCTGTGGAAACCATCCAAGCATGTCAGAGGCAAGAAGAGCTCTTGATTTCAGAGCTGGAGGCTACAAATAGCATCAAAATAAACGCTTTTGGCAAACCACCCGTACAGCTGGTTTTTGGCATGTCTTGACAGCACTGAGAAAGACTGTGCCGAAACAGCTGTCCGTGTGCCGTGAAGCATGCGGCGCTCATGCCGTCAGGCTCCTTCCTGCACAGCAGATGATGTCCATCTCCTTGCTGAGCACAGGCACCGTGCCAGGAGGAGCATTTTTTTGGCAGTGCTGACTCATTACCTTTGAGCAACTCCAGAGTGGAAAAGTACCCATTTCTGGGACAAAGCACCTTGGTGGGCAGCCAACGTTTAATTGTACTTAGGATTTGCCTGTTGGGTTTCTACATGGGAATGCTTTGCTTTGACAGGGAGTATGTCATGCTGGTCCTGGGAAAATTCCAGCAAATATGGCCTTGGACGTGTGGAGGTGTGTTGGGTTGGGTTTTTTTGACACCTGAAGGTGAAGCCTCCAATATATGTTGGCGTTCCCACAGAGATACTGTTTTGTCATCTTGTGGAGCCAGCTATCGATAGAAACAGTAATGAAGACTTCTCGTTGGGACTGTGGCTTATTGGAGAGCTTTCAGCTGATGACAAACTGGTAATTTCTTTCTGATGCTTTGGGGTTTTTGTTTTCTTGGTAGTTTTGAGGGCCTAAAACTTTTTGAGTACTAAAACTTTGCCATCAGCCATTTGGGATGGCTTGGTTTTTTAAAGGCTCTGAAGTGCTTTGGTTTGTACTGCTTGTGCTGCTGAAATCAATAAGCATTTGGTTTGCTGTATGTCTTATGCACACACACCTGTTAAAAATATGGCCAGTTAACCTGTCTGCTGCTCTGATCGATAGTAACAAACAATCACAATTAGCATCTTCTGTAAGACCTGGAGAAAGGCTTGTGTTCACTGAACTA